CAGGCTCTTTGGCCGTGTTCTGAAGGTTGTTCTTCCTAACGTTTCACCAGTCTCTGTGGCCGGCATCTTCAGAGGACAGCACTCTGTGCTCTGGTGTAGTTGGCTTGGGAGTGCACTCTTTAACCTTAACTAGAAGAAGCAATATAAGAACCATTTATCTCATTTTGAGCATGTTGGTGGCTTTGCTGTTTATTTTTGGAGTTCTTCTTCTTCTTCTTAAACCTCAGCAATGGAGGTGGCTTTAGTGTTTGTTTTTGGAGGGTTTTTTTTCTTCTTCTTAAACCTCACCGGAATGCTGTGTTGTTTTTAGTGGCTTTAGTGTTTGTTTTTGGAGGGTTTCTTTTTCTTTTTCTTAAACTTCACCGGACTTGTTGTGTTGTTTTTATTTTTGTGATGATTTTTTTCCCAGCCGGAACAGACTGATCAGTTTTCAATGCATTCTTATGGGAAATGGTGCTTCGACTTACGAACATTTCAACTTACGAAAACCATTCCAATACGGATTAAGTTCATAAGTTGAGGCACCACTGTATGCATAGAATATTACCATTTTAATATTCTATGATACTTCTCTGCCATTTTAGAATGGGAAGAGTTTGGACAGAAGAACATTGAAATAACTGCTGGAGATTGCCTTAATGGCCAAGTACAACTGGGTAAGAGAAATCACGGTGACATGTGCCAATATGAATTACTACATAAAGGTAAAGGTACCCCTTGACATTTTTAGTCCAGTTGTGTCCAACTCTAGGGGGCGGTGCTCATCCCGTTTTCAAGCCATAGAGCCAGCGCTTGTCCGAAGACATTTTCCGTTGTCACGTGGCCAGCGCAGCTATACACGGAACGCTGTTTACCTTCCCACCGAGATGGTACCTATTTATCTACTCACATTTACATGCTTTCAAACTGGTAGGTTGGCGAGGAGCTGGGACAAAGTCACAGGAGCTCGCTCCGTCGTGTGGATTCGATCTTACAACTGCTGGTCTTCTGACCCTGCAGCACAGGCGTCTGCGGTTTAGCCCGCAGCGCCACCACGTCCCCACATATATTTACAGATATATTACATAGTCATTTGTATATCTCTAAATGAACTCAAATGTTATAAAATGTCACTCCCTTTTAGTGTCTTCCTTCCAGGGTAAAAAATGTCCATTTGGAACTTACCAGCACTTGAATAAGTGAAGTGAATGTAAAATAGACAAACTTTGGCTGAAATCCTGTTGCTGAACACAGCTTCACTAGAGTGGGTCCATTGAATCTGTGGGGAATTGTTGAGTCAACTCCTCTGTAAGTTACATTGATTCAAATAGGCCTATTCTAGCTATGACTTACTTTAGCATAGTAAGTTTGAATCAATGGAACTGATAGAGTTGACTCATCAAACCCCCACTGATTCAATGGGCCTACTCTAGTGCAACTTACTATGCTGAGCAGCAGGATTTCAGCCTTTATGGACTACAGAATCTACAATACGGTATTGTGACCAGAATAGGGATTTTGTGAGCTTTAGTCCCAAAAAGTAACTTTTCCACTCAGGAGTTAAAGATCAATACAGAAAATCTATAGCTGTTCTTGCTGATCAGAAATAACTTGCAAGACTTTTTTTTTAAATAGACCAAGAGCTTCAAAATTGGGAAAGGAGTATGACAAGGCTGTATATTGTTCCCCGGCTTATTTAACTTATTTGCAGAATACATCATGCGGAAGGCCGGACTGGAGGAATCCCAAGTCAGAATTAAGATTGCCGGAAGAAATATCAACAACCTCTGATATGCAGATGATACCACTCTGATGGCAGAAAATGAGGAGGAATTAAAGAACCTTGTAATGAGGGTGACAGAGGAGAATGCAAAAACGGCCTGAAACTCAACATCAAAAAAATTAGATCATGGCCACTGGTCCCATCCCATCCAGGGAAATTGAAGGGAAAAATATGGAGGCAGTGACAGATTTTATTTTCTTAGGCTCCATGACCACTGCAGATGGAGACAGCAGCCCCGAAATTAAAAGACCCCTGCTTCTTGGGAGGAAAGCGATGACAAGCCTAGACAACATCTTAAAAAGCAGAGACATCACCTTGCCAACAAAAGTCTGAATAGTCAAAGCTATGGTTTTTCCTGTTGTGATGTATGGAAGTGAGAGCTGGACTATAAAGAAAGCAGACTGCCGAAGAATTGATGCCTTTGAATTGTGGTGCTGGAGGAGACTCTTGAGAGTCCCCTGGACTGCAAAGAAAGCGAAACTATCCATTTTAAAGGAAATCAACCCTGAGTGCTCACTGGAAGGGCAGATCCTGAAGCTGAGACTTCTATACTTTGGCCATCTCATGAGAAGACTCCCTGGAAAGGACCTTGATGTTAGGAAAGTGTGATGGCAAGAGGAGAATGGGACAACAGAGGATGAGATGGTTGGACAGTGTCTGCAACCAACATGAATTTGACACAACTACGGGAGGCAGTGGAAGACAGGAGGGCCTGGCGTGCTCTGGTCCATGGGGTCACGAAGAGTCGGACACGACTAAACGACGCCGAGACCAAGGGGGGTTATATGAGTCCTTCCAGATGTTGATGGACTGCAAGTTTCATTATCACTGACCATTGCCTATGGTACTTAAGGTTGATGGGAACTGAAGTCCTACATCTGAAGCCATAGGGCACCCATAACTTTTACACATCCTGAAAGTCTTGCTATTTGAATTTTATGAACCATTACCACAGGATTGTCACTGGCTTTTAAACATGGAAGTATTTTTGAGATTTTTTAAAAACTAATTTACATATGTTAAGAGGATGTTAAAGGCTGCCCTTTTTCAAAGGCATTCAAAACCATCCTCTCAAGCTATTCCATATAGTATGTGTTCCCATTGTCATCATCATTTCTGGTTTGTATCTATTGCTTGTTTTATTTGAGACATTTAATCTTGAGTGGTTGGGTTACTGTTACAGTATGTTCCTGTATACTGCTCAGAGTAGTGCTTTGCACTAAGTCAGCAGTATATAAATGCATAAAGTAAACAAAAAAGCAAATAGATTTTGCCACGAATCCACAGAATGCCACCGAGTACACCTGGGAAAGCATATCAAGGATTAGGACGCATACTATGTTTCCAATAAATGTGTTTCCCCCTGCGCTGCAAAAGAAGAGGTGTGTTAAACATGTTCCAATGAGTCATTCTTCTATGTTTTTAATTAAAGTTTCTTGTTAAATTTATATTGTGGCCAAATGTTTTTATATTACTCTACAAGCAAAATACAGTCAACCATCATGGCTAACTATTACCTCGCGTGAGCCAGGAGGTGAGGCTGAGGAGCCTAACGCCGAGGGAGGCCCGGAAGGAGAAGACAAGAAATCGGGCCCTCTCGGC